TTCCCTCCTTTTTTACACTTTTTTTAATAAAAAAATATTTCTAAATATCATACTAATAATTTAAGAAAAAATTATGAACAAATAAAATTATAGATAAATTACTAGCCTTAACAATTTGAATGATGATAATAATCCAACTTTGGCGTTAAACCTATACTTCCTTCTTTTTTTACACTTTTTTTTAATAAAAAATTAAAAAAAAAAAACTCAAAAAATCAAATACCCATCTAAAAACAAAGAGATACCATGAAGGCAGTTGTAATTAAGTCATACTAAAAAGTAAGATATATACAATATGATACACTATATATATGAATGAATCTCAATGAACATGCACCATTGAAATTTAAATTTTAAGTAGAAAACGGTCTTCTAGGAAGAATAATGACCTCTCTCATTTCAAAAGACCTAAAGTTGTGCAAGAAATGCAGCACAAAGGTCTAAAAATACAAATTTGACCCTTGAACCTTTTGTAGATCTAGCAAGTACTCCTCCTCTCGAGTTCTATAAAGCTGTTAACAACAATGCAACCAAAACATGTTAGTGTTCAATTTAATTTCACAAGTTTTGCCTTAAATTTATCTGCTGGATTGAAGGTTTCTAAAAACAATTACCAAATAACAATCCAATCATCCATTACTGCCATTTAAATGACTTGCAAGACCAATAATCACAAGGGACTTTCTCATATAGGCATTACTTGCAGCTTAAACTTGACGAAATTTGGTGATAGAATAATCCCATCATTCCCAATAATGCTTGAAACACTACATAGGCAAACAGTGAAATTGAAAACAAGAAAAAACAAATTTCATGTAGCAGAAGTTAGATCTAAGCCAACTTATATTAAGACTCAAAAACTCTCAAACTAAATGCAAAAAGAGGAGTTATCAACACAATCAAAGATCACGCATTGAGTGACATCAAAACTGGGTCAATTTGAATGGCGAAAAAGCGTGAAATCAAGCATTGAATAGACGGATTTAGAAAGGAACCCGCGTACCTAGTAGAAGATCCCAACGTTAGGATTGG